GCCCCCCCCCCCCCCCCCCCCCCCGGTGCCCAGCGTCCTCGCTGGCACTCCTTCCCTTCTCCAATCAATGTGGGACCCCTCAATCCACTCCCTTCGGGACCCAACATCCTTGTTGGCACACTGCCTCGTGTCCACCCCCTTTAGGGCTCAGCCTCCTCATTGGCACATCACCCAATGTCTGGTTTTGATACCATTTGTATCGACCCAAGCCCACCGCTAGCAAATATTGTCCTCTTTGGGTTTTCCCTTTCGGACTTCCCCTCAAAGTTTTTAAAACACGTCTACTAGGGAGAGATTTATACACCCTTATTAATAATGTTTCGTTCTCCTCCCCAACCGATGTGGGATCTCTCAGCTAAGCTAAGAGACGTATTCAAAGACCATAACATTCCATTAAGATTACCAAAATACTCCTCACGACTAGTTAAAAAGAGTTTGATATTAGCTAGCCATGAATATATATTTTTCAATCTTCCTAATAATTATAACTCACATATATACATCCAAAGCTAAGCTACAAGAAAGCCAGCCAGTGGAATCCCTTACCCATAATCACAACTCTATAATCAAAACCATCCACAAACTACCAACGAAATACATAAATGAAGAAACACAATGTGCCAACTTCCAATTCAAAGTAACAATCTGACCTGTCTATTGCTGACAAGAATGGCATTGCGAGTAACAGAGCTGGACGCCGACAAGCTATTAGCTGGAGTAGCTGCAGAAGCTGATGTTGAAGAACATGAAGTGTCTAATTGATCATTTTTTCTGAAATCAACAACAAACCACAAACAACAAACAACATATTGAAACCGAGCTAACCAAAAACACAAAACCCTAAACAATTAACAAAAATGGCGAAGTGGGCACCTAGGGTTTGTGATATCAGAATCCGGCAATGATTGAGAGGAGGAGGCAGGGACTGGTTGAGGAGGAGGTGAGTAAAACTCAGTGGATTTGAGGAACGCAAAGGCTTGGGAGAAGGATTGAGACTTCGGCTGTGAGCTGTCGATTACTTCTTGATAAGAGGATATCTTGATAATAGTCTTCATCTTTTTGTGAGCGGCGGTTTGCTGTAAGTTCTCTTCCTCGTCTCCTTGCTCCATGATCTTCCTGTTGTGCTGTTTCAGATTCTGGAAATTGAGACGTTGAAAGGAATTTCTTCTGTGTTTCTTGCGTCCTCGGCAATGGACGACGGGAGGATTGCCGAATCGACCCAATTTCTATGGCACATCGAATGCGGCCCTCTTTTTTTATTTTATATGTTGGTGATTTTTGTTTTATTATTCTTTAAATTAATGAAAATAACCTTAAATATTTGTGGGATGATAAAAGTCTCACGTCAGCTAATTTAAGAAATGGGCATGAATTTATAATTTAGAAGTACTCTCTTCATTCATATGAGACCTTTTGGAGAAGCCTAAAACATAGTTGTGTTCGTGATACTAATATTTCTATTCATATGCTTGAAACGACTCCCTTTGAGTCAGATTTAGAGGCCCCTACCTCTTAAGATTAACCCGAATAGAAGAAAGGAGAAGGGATTGAATTGAGATTGATTGAAAAGGCACCCCCTCTTTCATGATTAGGTGATAAGCAAACTATTTAATAACGAATCAATGGAACTTAGTGTAATTACGAGCGGATTTTTTGAAAGCTTGATAACAGAGCTACTGTCACAACGAATAATAGTTGACTTGTCTTGATTCTGACTCAGCTTTTCCAACACCCTTTTTAACCATACTGCTTGACATGCACATGAAGCTGCCTATAAATTCTGTCTTTGTGGAAGATAGACTTACTATTGGTTGTTTCTTTGATGACCATGATACTGCTCCAAAACTCAATAAGAACACATAACATTCAGTACTCTTTCTCTCATCCAAATCTCTAGCGTATTACGGGTCGTCCCCTACCCTTGTCCCGGGGCGCTAAGGGACTTTTGTTTTTGGAACAAACGGCAGTGTGTCTGTGTATACAACAAAATCATCATCTCCTCCTTTTCGATAGAAAATTTCAAACCCAATTGTTCCCTTCAAATAACGTAGTACCCTTTTTGTTGCCTGTAAATGAAGCTCAGTGGGATTCTCCATATATCTACTAATCAAACTCACTACAAACATTATGTCTGGTCGAGTTGCTGTGAGCTAATTAAAACTGCCTACCAACTTGCTTATAGTAAGTTTTGTCCACGTTTATTCCATCTTCATCGTTCATAAGTTTGCATCTAGGGACAATAGGATTATGAACAGAATTACTTTTGTCCATTCCAAACCGTTTCAGCACCTCCAAAGCATACTACTTATAAAAATACCACTAGATTTTTGTAAGACTTCAATGCCAAAAAAATACCTCATCTTACAAAGATCTGTCATGTCAAACTCTGTAAACATTAATTCATCATTTCCAGTAAACATGAGATCATCGACATAAAACCTTACAATTAATACTTTGGCTTCTTTCCTCTGAACAAAGTAGGTTTCTATACGGCTATACCAAGCACGTGGAGCTTGCTTAAGCCCATAGAGTGCCTTCTTTAACTTGTAAACTTTATGCTATGTCCCTTTTGCACATATCCTTAGGGTTGCTCCCCAAAGACCTCTTCATTCAAATCACCGTATAAAAATGCAGATTTCACATCCAACTGATAGATGGACCAACTTCTTTGAGCTGCAAGTGCTATCACAAAACGAATTGTCTCCATGCGCGCAACATGTACAAGTACTTCAATATAGTCTACCCCATGCTGTTGAGTATACCCCTTTGCTACAAGTCTAGCCTTGTATTTGTCGACTTCCCCATTTTCATTGAATTTCGTCTTATAAATCCATTTTACTCTAATCTTCTTCTCACCCTCAGGTAACTCCATCAATTCCCATGTGCCATTTTTGTTTATTGCTTCCATTTTCAGGTCCATGGCTTGCGTCTTCAAAATTTACAGGATCAGTAGTGGTAAACATGGCCAAGTGAGCTTCATTATCTTCTTCGGAAAGATCTTCTCCTGTTGCATAGTCTCTCATTCAGACTAGTGGTCTCTTATTCCTTCCCTTATTTGAGCTAGGAGAGCTTGCTTTAGCCAAAGAGCCAGATGAAATATTTTCCTCTGCGGCTTCTATATCAGATTTACTCCCTTCTTCATTTTCATCAAACACATCTACTGCCTCCTCTTGATTACCCCATTCTAGATCGCACATAATGGATTCTTCATAAGTCTTATCCTAGTCCCAACTCTTATGTTCCTCGAATACAACATCCCTACTTATTATGATCCTTTGTGAAGTTAATCATAGAGTCTGTAAGTCTTTGACTCTTCACCAACTCCCGACAAAACACAACTCAAACTCTTATTATCCAACTTTGTTTTTTACTGTTAGGTACATGAACATGCAAAATACACCCAAAAGCTCTAAAATGCTTAGCTGAAGGTTTGAATCCACTCTAAGCTTCTTCTGGAGTTTTATTTTTTACCGTCAATGTTGGACTTTGATTCAGTACATGTACAGTTCAGTTGACTGCTTCAGGCCAGAAACTTTTCGGAATTTTCTTTTCTAATATCATATTATGAACCATATTCATAATAGTTTTATTTTTTCATTCCGCAACTCCGTTCTGTTGTGGCGTGTATGCAGCTGTCAGTTGTCTTTGTATACCATTTACATCATAAAAATTGGTGAATTCTTGTGATGTAAACTCTCCTCCTCGATCCGTTCGTAAGGCTTTAATAAATGAGTTTGTTTCCTGATCAACATGAATCTTAAAATTTTTAAATACAGCAAATGCTTCTGATTTTTCTATTAAAAAATAAACTCATGTTTTTCAACTGAAGTGGTCATCTGTAAAAGTAATCAAATACCTTTTTTTGCTGTTTGAGATGGGTTTGATCGGTCCACAAATATCAGCATACACCAATTGGAGAATTTGTGAAGCTCGCCATGTGCTTCTTTTTGGAAACGAGTGCCCTTAAAACCCAAATGTCCATATCTATAGTGCCAAAGTTGCTCAATATCTTCTATGATTATTGAAACAAGTGGATGCTACAGGCTGAGATATAACATGCAGTACCAACATTCGATTCCAAGACATCTTTGTCTCCATGACTAAGCCTCTCTCAGGATAAAACACCTTGCACGTTCCATTTTGAAACAAAATGGAAAGCCCCTTTGCTTGCAATTTCCCAATACTCAACGAATTGTTCTTCAGCTCCAGCACATAGAACACTCCTGTGATTATCTATATGATTTCATTCACTTGCAACCGTACATTACCCTTTCCTGTTACAACCATATTTGAGTTGTTGCCCAGCTTCACTGAATCTCTGAAACTTCCATCAAAATCTAAAAAATATTCCTTCTTCCCATACATATGATTGTTACATTCCGAGTCAAGAAACCACATATCTTCTCTATTGACCTTATCATATTCACGTAAGCCATCAACAACTTCCCTTCTTGAGTCTCTGCATAGTTTGCCTCCTTCTCCTTGCTTTGACATTCCCATTGAAAATGTCCTAGCTTGTGACAATTATAGCACTCCACTATGGCCCTGTTGAAGGTTTGTTTGCCCCGTCCCCTTCCTCTGCCTCTAAAACTTCCACGACCTTGACCCCTTCCTCCAGATTGTACACCATGAGTGATCTTCAAAGTGTGTTCTTCTTCAACATGAGAACTCATGCGTTGTTCATGTTAAACACTGTCATAAGCCCTATTCTCTAAGACCAAGACCTATTCTCAAGGTCTTGCTAATATTTTTATGCTTGTTAGTTTATCTTTAGGTTTAGCAGAAGGCTATATAATGTCATTCTTTATGCTGTTGAAGAATCAAGTTTTTTAGTGCAATATTGTATGTCTTGAGTGATTTTGGTGTTGTGAGTACATTTGTTCCGCTTTCGGCTCACAACAAGTGGTATCAGAGCCAGGTTGTGGTATTTTGGGGTATTGTGAAAGCTTGGGCCTCATCGACCATTAGACGTGCTCACAATCGTGTTTATTCTCTTGAAATTCAATTTTCAAGAATTGTGTTTTTGAGTTTCATCCAGATTAATTATTGCAAATGACAGAACCATCACGACGTGGATCGAGAGTGTGGAGTTCCAATCTCGAAGTAGAGAAATTTGATGGAACCAATAATTTTGGTGTTTGGCGAGGCGAAGTTAGCGATTTGCTGGTCATGCAAGACCTCGATGTTTCTCTCCAAGAGGAAATGCCTGAAGACATGACAGAAGCAGAATGGACGAAATTAAATCGACAATCCTGTGGAATTATTCGATCCTGTCTTGGCAAGGATCAGAAATATCCATTTATGAAGGTTACCATGGCGAAAGAATTATGGGACAAGCTTGAAGCGAAATATATGAAGAAGAGTGTGGAAAATAAACTCTATTTGAAGAAGAAACTCTTTCGTGTTGACTACAAGGAAGGCATCTCAATGGCTGAGCATTTGGATGATTTTAACAAAATCATCACTAATTTGCTCAATCTTGATGTTAAGATTGATGACGAGGACAAGGCGTTGTTGTTATTAAACTCTTTGCCGGAATCATACGAGTTTTTAGTAACGACCCTACTACATGGAATCACTAATATTGATTTTGAAGATGTTTCAAATGCCTTAATAAACAATGAGATGCGAAAAAAGGAAAAGGAGACGTATCAAAGCTCTAGCTCAAATGTTCTCACTGCTCATGGAAGGACTTCTAATTGGAAAAAGAACGAATGTGGAGAGTCTCGATTAAAGTCGAGAGGTAGATCTGACAATTGGAGAAAACTTGATAAAAATGAGTGTGCATATTGTCGACAGAAAGGCCATTGGAAAAATGATTGTTCGATCTTAAAAGAGAAGGGGTCGAAGTCCAATGTGGTTAGAGATGACGACACTGATACAGATGATGCCTTGACAATCTCCCTATCAGTCAGCCAAACCAGTGAATGGATTCTTGATTCTGGGTGCTCCTATCATATGTGTCCCAACAAAGAGATGTTTTTGGACTTCAAAAAGTGCAATGGTGGAGTTGTCTATATGGGCAATGATAGTACTTGCAAGATAATAGGAATCGGCTCAGTACAAATCAAGATGTTTGATGGGGTTATACAAAAACTCAAAGAGGTGAGGTATGTCCCTGACTTGAAGAAAAATTTGATCTCACTTGGCGTTTTGGATGCGAGTGGTTATCGCATCATTTTGAAAGGAGGAAATTTGAAAGTAGCTCGTGGAGCTTTGGTGGCAATTACAGGAACTAGAAG